CCTCTTTCCATTTGTTCACTTCCATTTACTCTTGAGACTACTTCAGTTGGGTTTCCATTGCTCATTTTTGCCGCTCAACTGAAGTAGCTCTTGTCAAAATCACCAGTGATTTTTATATCGCTGGATACAATGATCATGTCTCAGTTCTCATCTTGACCTCTTAGTAGTTTTCAATGTAACTGACCAAACCTTGAAACGTATTTTTTCCTAGGTTTACAAAACTACATGCCCTCCTGGTTTCCCTCTTTTCTTTCATTCTTTGCAAGCTCGTCTGTCTACTTTTCCTTAGCCCTTCTAACTATTGAGCACTCCACGGCACCCACTTCTCTGTCTACATTCTCTACTTGAGTGGTTATATTCAGTCCCATGGCCTAAGTACCCACACTCAGGTAAGCTACATATTTATATCTTTCCCCTGAACTCCAGGTTATGTCCAGCTGCTTACTACTTCTAAGAGAAATCTCAAATTTGGCATGACCATCACAGATCTCTTAGTTTCCATGCCAAAGACTGATTTTCCCCTCATTATCTTTATCTCAGTATACAACATCAAAATGTATCTGACTGCTCAAGAAGAAAATCTCTCAATTCCCTGTTTTATACCAAAGATATCCAAACCTAGACAGTCCTCAGAATTGGAGTACTAAAAGAGAGAACATATATAAAAAGCTTAATATACTGTGTAGCCAATCATAAGAAATAAATGCTGGCTATTATTATACATATTTAATATTATAAAATATTTTTTAAATTATTGATTTAATTATACTTATTATTTTTTTATTTGACTGGAAAGAGAGAGAGAGAAAGTGAGAAAGCAAGCTGCCAGGTCTGGGACTTGAACCACAGTCTGCCATGTGAGAGTCCAGTGCCTTAACCACAATACCACCTGCCAGACCCAATATTATAAAATCTTAACTTCCATAACAGCTACCATTGCTTAGAGCTTTTGACACTTTTTTTAAGTTGCAGTAAAATATGCATGTGGATACTGGTAACATAGTCCCATGAGTTTCATTATATGTAGGTATCTGCAGAATTTTTTGCTTTGGCTCTTTCTTAGGGATGTGACAGTCTCTGTTTTGAAATAAATTCATAAGGACCTAATTAATAAGACAGAAAATTTATTTTTTATTTATGAGTGAAAGTCCTTGTACTTTCTAGGATTCCTCTTCTTAATATCTAAATGTCATGGGCCAGCCCTTGGCCTGTTTGTTAAGGTAGCTGGATCCCACATAGCTGACGCAGAGTCCCAGACCCAGCAGCTTGTAAAACACTTTAGGCGTGTGTATGTGCATGCCCAGAATCCTGAAAAGAAGAAGAAAAGGAGGAGAAAGGATTGCAGTATGGCCATGTCCCATGGGGAATACTGGTGCTTTCTTTTTTTCGCCCTTTTCCTCTCATTGTCTGTCTCTGTCTAGCAAGTGTACATGCTCTCTGTCAAATTAAAAAGAACTTCTTAAACTATAAAATAAATGTTACTTATACTATAACCCCCATAAGAGTCATTATTGTATTTCTTATGTAATATAGTTCTTTTTCATGTGACATTGTAAAAATTGAATTGAACCAATAGACATTAATTTTCATACTCAGTGTCTGAAATTGAAGCTAAGGTAGCCTTTTCTTTCTTTTTTTTTTTAAAGAGATTTTTGCTATTAGGTGTGTGCACACAACAGAGAGACAGAAAGCGAGAAATCACCCACCAGAGATGGCTAGGCTGCAGTCCCTTCTCCATTCTCCTCCCAGGATCTTGGGCATGCACACACACATGCCTGGTATGAGTTTTAAGCCACTGGGTCCGAGATTCAAACTGTCGTCGATTACGTGGAAGTCCAGTGACATAACCTTTATACCATCTACTGGTCTCCCTAAGACAGCCTTTTAAAACATTCTTTTTGGGGTTCTGGCAGGGGACATGGTGGTTAAAGGTGCTAGACTCTCACATGGCTGACGACGGTTCAAGTCCCGGATCTAGCAGCTTGCTTTCTCATCCCACAAACCCCGCTGTCTTGCTCTTGCTTTCTCGCTCTGTCCCTCTCTGGTCAAAATTTAAATTTAATAGTTAAATAAAATAATTCCTTAAAAAAAAGAGAAGTCGTATCCATTGGTTATGTTGAATGTGCAATACTCAGTTTCTGTAATAGAAAAAAATCTGGCGTAATGAGTATGTCACTGGACTTCCATATAGTCGACCACAGTTTGAATCCTGGACCCGGTGGCTTAAACTCACGCCAGGTGCGTGTGCGTGCGTGCCCAAGATCCCAAGAGGAGAATGGAGGAGAAGGGATTGTAGCGTAGCTATCCCCCCTGGGGGGTGATTCTCACTTTCTGTCTCTGTGTCTTTCTGGTGAGCACACATGCCCTATACCAAAAACCCCTCCCCCCCAAAAAAAATCCAAGAAAGTAAGAGTTTTAAGGCATCACAAGTTGGTCAGCTCTTTCAAAAGTGCAAGGACACCATTTTTCTTAGAAACAGGAAATACTGAGGTTCTACTATGTACCAGGTAATGTGCTAGACACTTAAGAAATGTTACTTCATTTAATTCTCACTGTAGTTCTACAAAGTAGGTATCTTTTTGTACTCTCAGATTTACAATTGATGGATTTGAAGCTCAGGAAGTCCAACTACCCTCCAAAAATGAAATATTTTCTGAGCACCTCCCTTCAAACCCCATCCTATACTAAATGGCCTTCCTCTGTGCTACTGTTAGACCCTGAACCTATCTTTATCTTAACATTTGTATATTCAAATAGCATTATGTTTATCTGTCTCTCTGACTAGGCACTTTCTCAAGGATAGGGACAGTGTCTTATTCACCAGTACAGCCTTGAACATAAGGCTCTTAGTTAGTATCAGTTTGCATATTTGAACTCAGGATTAAATCTAAGTCTATCTTGTTCATCATCACAGGCCTACAGATCCAGGTATCAAGATAGTTACTCCTTAAGGAACCTTTGGGGAGGAAAAATAAGCTAATTCTGAAAACCCAACAAGATTTTTTTATATTGAGAAAAGCTGATACTTTGGAAACTTTCTCTACCACCTAAAAGTGAAACCGAGGGCCAGCCAGTGGTTAAGGCAACTGGATCTGTGGGCCGACTGCACGGTTTCAGTCTCAGACCTGGTGGATTGAAAAATATGCCAGGCACATGTGAGTGTGTGCCCAAAATTCTGAGAGGAGAATGGAAGAGAAGGGATTGAGGAATGGCCATCCCCTGGGAGGTGATTTCTCATCCCCCACCCCCCCCCCCCCCACCCCCCCATCCCCCCCCCCCCCCCCGCCCCCACTGTCTTTCTGCCAGTGCACATCCCCTCTAACAAATTTTTAAAAATTGAAACTGAAATATTAAGACATAAACATACTTTGAAGGAGAGATATCAAGAATGTGGGTTGCTTTATTTTCCAGGGGCTCTATGGGTGTGCATAATTTTAAATCCACACTGCAAACTGGAAGAAAAATCGTGTTGGCTTCAGCAACTGCAGAAGTGGAGCGACCTGGACCTCTGTCCCCTGGAGGATGGGAACTATGGGCATGAGCTGCCCAATATCACCAGTGCTCTGCCCCAGAGTGCCAGTCACAGCCCAGGTGAGCCAAGTATCCTTTTAGGCTCTTTGTGCCTGGAACTTCAAAAGGTGGGAGAGTAAAATCCTAGAACAGTGGTGGTCAGACAGCCTTTTGGCTGTCAGTGTTCTCATCCTAAGTCAGAAAACCCTGTCTTTTTACTCATTTTGAATATGAGCCCTTAAGTAAGGGTAAGCTTTTCTTTTGGATATTGGGGATACTGTCCTTTTCCACATCCTTTTTCACTTTTATAGTGCCTGGTATAAAGTCCTAGAGCCCTCTGTATGGTTCTTCTCTGCCTTTCAAGTTCTTCATGTCCAGTGAATCTTGGCCTCAGTTGGAGTTGGTTATAGTTCAGAAGGCTTACCTCAAAGGAAGGACAGAAGGCCTGCAAAAAGTTGTTTTAAAAAACTGTCTTGGGACCAGCAGTTAGCATAATGGCTATGTTACTGAACTCCCATGTAGTCGACTGTGGTTCGAGTTCCGGACCCGGTGGCATAAACTCATGACAGGTCCCTGTGTGTGCATGCCCAAGATCCCAAGAGGAGAATGGAGGAGAAGGGATTGTGGCATGGCTATCCCCCCTGGGAGGTGATTTCTCGCTTTCTGCCTCTCTGTCTTGCTCTCTCCGGTAAGCGCACACACCTATAGCAAAAACCTCTAAAAAAAAAAAAAAAAAAAGAAAGAAAGAAAAATTAACAAAACTGTCTTGACTGCAGTTTTTCTGACTTTTCTCTGTTTTCCTCAAATATTTATGTAGAGGTAGATGGGTGGGTCATCCTCCTCAGTTACTACTAAGACTCCTGTTCCATTTTAAGACAAATCCAGTAATGCAGTGATACTGTACCTTCTGCCTTTTGAGCCCACTGGGCTACTGCCAAAACTCAGCGTCAGCATTCATGGCAGTATTAGTGTATCTAACTCAGGATTTGATACTGGAAATTGATTGTTCTTTAGCCCATTAAGAGCCTTTATTGGCAGGAAATTTTAGAAGACGCTGATTTTATGTGTGGTCCTTTTTAAGTGATAACTCTATTGGTATATATTTTTTAAGTTTATTTATTTCCTTCATGAGAAAAACAGAGAGAGAGAGAGAAACATCCCCCACAGATCATCACACAGGATCCACCCCAGCCTCAGCCAGCCCAGATCATAGGTATGCTTGAATGCACTCAGCATTTACCAAGAGGCCTCGAGATGCACACCTGAGACCTTCCCATGTGGGTCCAGCATCGTAGAGTGTTACATTACTGCTACACCACCAACTGGCTCCTCTATTGGTATTTTTATATTGAGAAAAGCTGATACTTTGGAAACTTTCTCTACCACGTAAAAATGAAACTGAGGGCCAGCCAGTGGTTAAGGCCACTGGATCTATGGAATTACTGTTTTCGTTTGGTTGTCTTCTACTGTACCACAATTAATTGTCAGTGTATTTAAGTTGACTAAGATAGTGAGAGATGAAAAGACTCTCTTTGCCACTTCTTGGAGCTACCCTTTTGGGCACTCTTACAGGCTCCACAACATAGGAAGCCATCTGTTTAGTATTTTGGATGCTTTGGGAGGGTCAAATGTATACAAACACATGGGTCCAGCCTGGCAGTTTCTTCCTGTCATAATATATTTGTTCTTTTTTGTTAATGGTTCTCCTTTTTTTTTTTTTTATTTTCCTTCCTTAGTCTTTTATTTGTGAAATGTTAGTATTTAACAATAAATACAGAAGAAAAGCAACAAACAAGGAGTTGACTTGCACTGTGGGTGGGAAACTCAAGCCAGGGGAAAGCAGAGGTCCCTGGTACTCCGTAGGATGTGCTGTGGGGCCACCAAGAGTCTGCAGTTTGAAAGGTGCATCTTTCTTCCTCCACAGGTCTCAAACAGCTTAGATAGGAGGCTACCCCTCGGGTTCATGTCTCCGCACACAGGTCATGAAAATAGGACACATGAGACCAGCAGTTGACATAATGGCTATGTCACTGGACTCCCATGTAATCGATCATGGTTCGCATCTTGGGCCCAGTGGCTTAAACTCACGCCAGGCGCATGTGCATAAATGCCCAAGATCCCAAAAGGAGAATGGAGGAGAAAGAATTGCGGCGTGGCCATCCCTTTGCCGGGGTGGGGGGGTTATTTTTCACTTTCTGTCTCTCTTTCTGGCAAGCACACGTGCCCTATAACAAAACACTCTCAAAGAAAGAAAGAAAGAAAGAGAAAGAAAATAGGGCACATGAGCTCACCAGAGAGAGAGGGAAAGTGTGAAAACAAACTGCCAGGTCTTGGACTCAAACCATAGTTGGCCATGTGGGAGTCCAGTGCCTCAACCACCTTGCCAACTGCTGACCCCAACCCTGGCATGATTTTCAAGCAGTGATTCTGAGACTCAAGCCATGCAGTTGGCCATGTAAGATCTAGCTGTCTTAACCTCCGTGCTACCTGCTGCCCTCCCCTTTGTCTAATTTCTTTTATTGTCTCTTTCCCACTTCTCAACTGAAATTGCTAAGTGCTGAGGACTCAGACTACTTCTCTTTAGATACTCCTCTTTTAGTTGTGTCATTTTAATAATCATCTCTATACCAAGAATTTGCAATGTGTAGCTCTTCCCAGACCTTTCTTCTCATTGCTAAACCTATATATTCAACTGCCTTTTTAATATATTTCTATTCATGGACATCTCAGTAAGATTTCTTATCCCTCTTTCC